TAACTTCCTTGTAGCATGGGCCAGTGTTTTTCGTAATTCAGCACAACTTCTCATTTTGATCTGAACTTTGAATTCAATGGAATTCATACTTTCCTTTTTTGAAAAACAAGTCTAGTACTGAATTTTTATTCAATTCTGAATTCACCTTCAAGGGTTAGCTGTAGTCCCTCTAATTGATAAATGGTCTGTGGAGATGTTTAGTCTTTTGTCATTGAGAGGTGTTTCTGTCAACTGGAGAGTGTGTGCTGTATATTGTGAAACCTGTTAAATGGAATTATTTAGAATTTAGATATTTGAATGGCCTAGTTCTGTGTTTTTATTAAGCCATATACTGTTTGCAAATCAAAGATCTGATCATTTGGGATGGCACCCATCTAAAGTTGCCAAATACTCTTCCGGGGGTGATTGAGCTGATAGAGCCCTAATTTTTCAGGTTAACTGGCTAAATCTGATTATATTATTTGACTGCAGTCTTCTTTGCTTTCCCTGAAACTAGTTGATTGAAGCCATAGTACTTGATCGCTGTAACAAAGTTTCTATCCTGTTCTGGGGTCCACATGCAAATTCCTGTAAATTACTTAGGATACCATTATTACTGAACAGGATAATCCCCACCCCTTTCTCCAGTCCTTTTATTCTGGAATGGAAGGAAGATTATTATATGAATAACAGGACCCCTCTGCAGCCATTTTCAGTATTTTATTTGCTTGTTCTCAGATATTAAACAAGTGACTAAGTTAGTACATGGCATAGTTATTTTAATTTGAATCTCCTAAAATACCTACTTTGGCCATTCCTTCTATAACTATGGTTGGAACATAGTAGATACTTAATTATTTGTTGGATATGTTAACTTAAAAGGGCTACTCTGTATAAAAGTTGTAAGAAGGCTTTGTGGTTTTTGTTTCTTTCTAAGATCATCAAATAAGAGATGATTTGCAGGTTTCATTTAGAATTGGTTGCCTTACCTTTCAAGTTTCAAACTTGGAATATTGACATGTGATTCCAGGGAAAGGGGAATTGAAACAGGAACCAAGTTTGGCTGCCTGTCTGTACCAGAGTCAGTCAGTAAGTACAGACAAGTTTGAATCTTTGAGGTGCTTTTGTTCTGATGCTGGCAATCTCAGAGAGTGGCAGGTATAATACCCTGAAAAAAAAAATTCTGATTTCTTAAGCTAGCTGTTAAATAAGATTATAGTCGGCCCTCGTGTATTGCGGTTAATCAGTTCCAGACTCTACCTCGATAAATGAATTTCCCTGAAGTAGGATTCTTTATTTATATACAGTCGTCCCTTGCCACTTCGAACTTCGACTTTTGCGGCTTCACTCTTTCGCAAGGGACTATAGAGGGTGAGGAAAATTCTAAAACTATGTGAGTTTCCAGGGTCTGTTTTCTATCATTGTAAAGATTAGCCCCCAGACATTTGTCTCCCTTCGGGTGTGTCCTGTCCTTGATATGCTTTCAAAATGTATCTTTTTTTCTGAGTGGTGGAGCCACCTGGACTTCAAGGTAGATTTATCTTTACAACTCTGTTTTTCTCCTTACAACAGTCCTCCAGAGTATCTCAGGGTCTGTAAGAAAATCTCTTATTTATAGTTAATACAGTGAATAGTTGTTAATTAACTATGATTCTCTTCCTATAGTGTGACCTTCCCCTACCATTATCACATTGTGCTGCGGTCCCAATTCAAGTTGATTTTATCTCATCACACAGCTAGAGACACATTGGGAACACATCTAGGGAGTGTAAGACGGAAACATAAGTTCAGGCAGCTGGACTGGGGAGAAAGAATAATGCTTATTCATTCTTGTTGTAGACCAAAGTGACAGACCAGACTCAGACTCCGAACTGGGTTCACATTAAGAGCTTTATTAGCTGCAAGAGTTTTATTAGCCACACGGCGACTGTCCCATCCTAAGCAGAGGAGAGAGCAGCCCCGAGCTCTGGGGGAAGGTAGCTTATATAGTTGTCTTAGCCCCTGTTAAGAAATTGGGCTAAAGGTTTGTGATCAAGCAAGCAGGTACAGAAGCAGATATCTGCAGTTAGCCATTAACGCCTGAGGGATGAATTAACTATACAATGGGTTAACTCTGGCTGATGTATATCTCCTTCCTTTCTTAATGGAAAATTTTTACTGTATGTTCACATAGCATGTGTTTATTCTTCACATTCTCTCCACTTTAATTGGACTAGTGGCTGTGCATGTTTTAACATTTCCCATGACAAGGACAAGGCATATTTCTGTAGTAGACTTGATTGCCACCAAGTTTATTGTTTTCAAAGCAAAGGGGAAGAGAACAATGCACAAAGAGAGTTCTGTAGTAGAATTATTTTCCTTGTGAAGGAGAATGGAGGGATAAAGAAAAATAATAATATTTGGAAAGGAGGTAAGTACCAGGAGGTAGTTTTTAGTTAGGGGCAAAATAATTGTGCTTCAGCCAGCTTCTCCTCTCTGTATTTTTCTTTATTATTAAATTGTAACACTTTTCCAAAAGCCCTGGATAGTACTGAGCCCAAGAGCTCTGCTTGATCAAAGTGTGTGTGGTAGTCTGGGCCTGGTTAATGAAAAATTCAAGTCTTATTTCCTTGAGCTAGTATTGCTCCTTCTGCCTTGTATATTCTTTTGTTTGTTTGTTTGTTTTTGTTTTTTATCCTCACCCGAGGACATTTTTCCATTTTTTGTACAGATAGAGTGGGAGGGAGAGAGAGGAAGAGATAGAGAGAGAGAAACATCGATGTGAAAGGGACACATCGAGTGGCTGCCACCGCACGACCAACCAGGGCCGGGGACAAACTGCAACCGAAGTACGTGCCCTTAGCGGGAACTGAACCCAGGTCCCTCTGGACCGCAGGCCGACGCTCTAACCGCTGAGCCAAACCGGCCAGGGCATGCCTTGTATATTCTGTGGGGAACACTGTATATGGTGGAGGACTTTGCCTGGAGCGTGATTTATTCAGGAGTCAACCAGAGAATGTTTACTAGTCACCTGTTTAACTATTTGGAGATAACAAGGAGATAGTGATGGGTGTCTTTACAATCTTTGAAGGAGGACATGTAGAAGGAAGAATTTGGTGATTTTATTTTACATCAATCTTATTCTTACTTGTATCTTTACAGAAAATGGCACAGAAATAGCAGGTTTAGAATACCTAGAAGTTAATACCTAGAAGTTATACCTTCTCACTCTCTGTACATTATTTACACACCAACAGCTACAGTCTAACACTTCAAACCAACAGGAGACAAAGACAAGAAGAACTGGGGGAAGTTCCTTGAGTGGAATGAAGAAGAAATCAACTTTTGATAGGGAATTAAAATCCCAATTCACTGTTTCAGGCCTTTCTCTCATGAGGTATTCCCTGCAGAAGTGGGTGGGATGGTAAAAAATTCCAGGGGGTAAGGGGACATATGCCTAGCCTAGGGGTGAAGGGAAAGCTGCACAGAGGCCATCAGTATGGACAGGTCCTTTCATCAGCAGACAAGAAGCCTCCACCCCCGCCCCCTACTTCACTGTCTCTGTCTTATTCTATTGGACATGCACCACGACACACCTGGCTCGAAGGTGTGTGTGCCTATTGCTTAGTTTGGGTCTGACATTGGCTCCTGCCTTACTCTCCCTCAAACTTTTTCTCATACCCTTCTTGTGACCAACCCTTGATGACTATTTATAGCCTCAGGCCCACTCTGGGCTTGGCCTCCCAAGTACAAGCTGGACGAAGTTGGGTCAAGGTCTGTGGCTTCCCAGGTTTTCATTTAATAGCTGAATTGGTTTGTTCTAAGGCACATGTGAATCAGTAATTTGTGAGAAGCTCTAGGAGAAGGATGCCTTGCACAGCAAGTCAGAGTCGCAGGCAGCAAGCATATCAGGGGAATCAGGATGCTTTAGAACACAGCCCCAGGAATGCTGGAGAGGATTTGGCCTCCCCAACAGTGCATAGAGCCACAGCATTGGTGAGAGGTGCCCCCTGGTTGCAGGTCACAGATCCTGGACTCACTACAGCTATTGTACATCGTTGCATGTGTGGCTGGCACTTGTGCTGGGAGGAATGGTGGGACAGGCTGGGTGTGGAGAGGGCAGTCTCCTGAGGGTGACCATTGGAGGGCATGAGATGGAGAGTGGCTGAGGGGCCCAGGCTGAGATTTCCCAAGTTTAATCCGGACTCTGGGCCCTATTGATGGTGTGTAGCACAGGTTGTGCCTGGGCCTGAATGGCAATACATTTACATGGTGAAGGCCCAGGCCCAGGCCCATGGGCAGGAACAGGCTGAGGGGAGCAGAATTTGGCTGAGAACTGTGGCCCTGGAGTGCAGGTCCTCAATCCCTGACAGGGCCGTGGCAGGCAATGTGCTTAGGGCCTGGGGGAGAGCAGAATCCACAGGGGTTAGAGCTGGGAAGAAGGCTCTAGAGCAAGAGAACAGACAGTGAGCATTGCCAAGGGATTGAGTGAAAGCGACTTGAGGGGGTGGTTTGGGGCTGCAGTAGCCCTTCTGAGGCAGGGCTATTGGGATGAGGAGGATGCTGGAGAGGCCAAGACTAGGTAGGGGATGTCTCAGCATAGTCCAAAGCCTTGGCCAGAACTGAGTTGTGTCTGAAATCACCTGGAAGGGACATGAAGGGCCTATGGGGCAGGAAAGGGTGGCAAAGGCTAGGCTGGGCCCTGCCTCGGAGAACACCTCCCAGCACCACAGGTCCCGAGAAGAGCAGAGTCCTGGGGCTCCAGCAGCACACCCTTGACCTAAGCCACGTCTTCAAGCTGCTGTGGACTCAGCTTCTCCACTGGCCGATCTTCATCCATGGCCTCCTCTTCCTCAGGCTCCTTGGCATTCCAGGCCTGGCTGTTGGGCCTGGACACAGTCCCCAGCACTTTGGTGCTATGCTCCTGAGCTCTGGCTCAGAGCACCGCAGTTTTGTTCTCCCTCAGTTTCTCCTGGGACATGACTGCTGAAGGGTCGGGGCCCCACTCCTCCTGCTCCATCTTACTAGCTTAGGCAGGGCCTGGCACTCCACCTCAGATGAGTTTCCTCCTCAACTCATCTGCTGCCTCCAGCAACTTTTTGTGCATTTCCAGCAGCCATGGAGCACAGGAGCCCATGATGCCATCCTTGGCAGACTTGAGGATGGACTCTGACAAGGGTGCCGCACCATGGCTCCCTACAGCCCATACTCTGCTGTGACGCTGTTCCGACTTCAACCCTTCTCTTGCTTCCTCCACTTGGCTCTGCAGTTCTGGAACCAGACCTAAACATGGGGAGAGGAAATGATTGGAAGACTGGCCGTGTAGTGAAGCAAGTGTTCTGGAGCCTAAAGGAACTCAGGTCTGCATTCTGGCCGCTAAGCATCAGGTTCCCCCTCTGTATCCTGTCTTCTGGCAGCTCAGTTTTCATGGCCAGCATCTCCCAAGCACAGACGTCTGGATAGGGGGCCTCGTTGAGTGCCTTCTCTAGCTCCCCTAGGTGGTAGGAGGAAAAGATTGTCCTGTGTCACTGCTTCTTCCATTTCTTGGTCTGGTTTTAAGCTGATTTGGACATTTTTCGGTCGCTGGAGGAAACATCTTCAGAATCCGAGCTGGCCGACTGGCTGGTGTCCAGCCGCCCCGATGCTCTGCCCAGCAGCCGCAAGTCGACGCTCTGAGAGTTGGACAGCACTTCCAGGAAGGCGGGCTGCACATACAAGCCCGGGAGGCCCCCGGACCCCAGCAGCCCCATGCTGCCCACTCATGCGAGACTGAGCAAGGAGCTCGCTGCCAGCAAGTGCCCGGAGGCCAGGCCATCGAGGGTTGCCTGCAAGTGGGATCTGGGGAGCTCCTTGTTCAGGCCTAGGATCTCCGGAATGCCGAACCCAGTGCACCTGGCCGGAGTGCTCCGCGAGGTATTCTTGGCCACTGTCTTATATTTAGGCTGCTTCCCCCCGTTTCCGGGCTCTTTGCAGGGGCTGAGGCCGCAGATCTTTAGCTCCCCCCAGCCCCACCCTCACTGCGCTCCCTGCTTTGAGAAGTTGGTCCCAGGTGCCCCCTCCGGGTGTCTAATGCTCGAATTTGGTGATTTTAAAATAAAACAAAAATAAAAAGTTTGAGTCCCAGTGGCATCCCTCCTTTTCTTCCACCCACTTCCTCACCACCAAACAGAAGAGTGAAGCAGGGTATTGTAGGTTCTTGCCTGTTGATAGCTTCTTTTTTGGTTTGTGTTTGTTTTTAATAGCAGGTATAGGCTTTTTTTTTTATATATATATATCCTTATAGATACACTGTCTCTTTCTGGGGCATGTTATCAATATATTAGCATGTTAAAGGCATGAAACCAGTCTTTTTTTCTGTTAATTATATAGAAGGAAAGTTTTACCGCCTAACCAATACTTCTTGTAGAAATGAAGGAAGTCACTGTTATGTTTCTGCTTTTTTTTCCTTTGCTGGCCCTGGAAATAAGTGATAAGAGTAGAGTCAGTGTACATCATCAGGAGGTTTAACCAGTCAGATATTAGATAGTAGGACCTTTCTCCCACTTTGTGCAGGCACTGACAGCAAGGTCAGCTGAAGAGAGGAGGTTGTGTCTCTGGACATAAGAGAAGTGTCTGTGTGAACCATTTTCTGAGATCTACCTCAAGGTTTATGGGTCTGTAGTTCACTGTCATGGAGAAATGGATTTTCTTCTCTTCTCTGTTCTTGGCTACAGTGAATAAGACCTATTACTGGATCAGGAACTTCTCGTTCATTTTCTTTGCTTCTGTGATTGCTTAAGCTTCCTGGCCATGCACTCAACCCTGATCTCTAGCCAGTAGTGTGTGCTGTCATTGTGTCCACATTGGAGATTGGTTGGGGTTTGGCTATGAAGAGCTCTTTCTTTTGGACATGTGTGCTCAGTTGTAGGAAATATGGGCGCTTGTCAGCTCAGGTGTCCCCTTCTTTTGTAAAGTTTCGGCATGGGTAAGGGAAATGGTACACTGGATGAAAAGTTTAAATTCTGCCCTGTACAACCTTGTCCTGGTGGTAACTAGTAGTGGGATCCCACATTAGTGGCTTTGATCTTTTGACTGGGGCCACAGTTCTGGTTTGAGGCAGATTCAGAGTTCCAAGCTTATGTTCTTTTTATACGTTGTAGTGTCAGCCTGTTTGTTATACAGGGTGGTATCACTGAGTAGTGGAGCCTTCAGGCTTCTGTAAGAAGTTCATGAAAAGCCCTTGGGGAAGCTTCTCCTATGGTGTGGTTATCCCACAACACCCCTAGCCCCAGGGCTCCAGCCAATTTATTAGGAAAAGGGAAGTAGAAAATGGGAAGAAAGGAGCATATCTTTGGCTTAACATTTTCACCTCTAGGAATTTTCCTACAGAAATCTCACAACTGCTTTAAAAAAAAGGACACACACATACAACTATTTACTAGACATTGTTTATAATGTCAAAAACAAATTCCCAAATGTCAACAAAGAGGAGAGAAGTTAGGACTTCAGCTCTTTAAAGTATATCTCAAAAAAGGGATTCTATTCAGTACCTCCAGGCAATGTAGATGTTTATATATATATATTGACATGAAAAGATCTGCAGATCATTTTGGTAAGGGGGAAAAAGTTACAAACTAATACGTATTAGGATCTCAGTTTTACAAAAGTTTGAAAGACTGCAAAATGTTAACCAGGGTTATCTCTTGGGATCTATAATTATAGGGAGATGTTTTCTTTTTGGTGGGGTTATAGTAGGGAGAGGAGGAGAATACATCAAGCTTTTAAAGTAAGGGGAGGGTCAACTTTTAACTACAACTTTTACAAAGAAGACCGAAGGAGGAGCATCCAGGATTCATCTGTGGGCTGGATCAGTTGCATTTCTTAGTAGGTGCTAGACGTCTCTGGAGAGTGCAATTATCTTGGGACTCAATGTGGGAGGCACCGTGGTCCAAACTGATTTCAGCAGCACTATGGAGGCACGCCAGGCTCAGGACAGCTGGCTTCTAAGACTCATACTTCACTGGGATGAGAAGTTTGCCTCTTCCCCTAACCACACCAGTATACTTTTGCATTAACTGCTTCCCTTGCTTTGGAGTACCTCATCCCCTTTTGCTACCCTGGCAAACACCAATTCAGGGTTCAAGGTTCCTGGTCAGAGGTCCCCTTCTGCTTCCCTTTTTGGAGATAGCTATAATATCTACTGTAGTCCTTATCACGCTGTTTTGTAATTATTTGTATTTGTCTCTCCCACTAGACTGTGAGCTCCTCAAGGGCAGGGACCAGGGCTTGTTTTTTCTTTTTAACTGCCCCAGCACCTAGCACAGTTCCTGATGCACAGTAAGTGCTCAATATATTTTGATTGGAATGAAAAAATGAGTGGGAAATGAATGATTTCAAGGATTTTTATTAGGCTGAGTATTGGGAAAGGAAGCCTGGATGTTACATATATAAAGGTGGGAGGGGGAGGGGAGCAAAGTGGGCATGGAGAACCAGCAACATTGGCACCAATGTAGGAGAGTGCCAGGACACATGGGGCCGAGTAGACCTGAAAGCGTGGGGCATAGGCAGGGTTGACTTTCCTAGTTTCCATTTCAGAAACCAAACAAAATGCTACTATATAACCAAAGTAAATGTTTTTCTCCATGCTGCTAAGATTCTATGAATTAAACACATTGATAAGATAGAAATGTTTTGATTCAGGGAGAAGGGCTGGTGGAGGGAGTGGCTATTGTGCACTGAAGTAAAAACAGATGCAGCAATGAGTTGTCCCTTTCAGAGCACTGAAAAAATCCTGAATCTTTAGATTCATGGACCCAGGGGTCTTCAGAGCAGTGTCTGAAAAGTTACTGTCTGTATTCCTGGATATCTTCTTACCATCCCCCATCTCAGTCCTAGAAATACTAGGTTTAGGTGTATAAAAGTAATATCTACATTAACTGTTCGTCATTTATGCCTGATGATCATGTAGCATAATCATTTTGCATTAAATATGCATTTTTAAAAATTCTAGTATCATTCATTATTTTCAGCAAATATTTTTTTTTTAATCCTCACCTGAGGACATTTTTTGATATTTTGTTCAGATAGAGTGGGAGGGGGAGAGAGAGAGAGAAACATCGACGTGAAAGGGACACATCGAGTAGTTGCCACCCGCACAACCCAACCAGGGCCGGGGACAAACTGCAACTGAGGTACGTGCCCTTAGCGGGAACCGAACCCTGGTCTCTCGGACCGCAGGCCCACGCTCTAACCGCTGAGCCAAACCGGCCAGGGCTATTTTCAGCAAATATTTATTGAATGGCTACCATGTGTCAGGCACTGGGAATACAAAGACAGTGAGATTGGTCCCTGCTGTTGAGGAACTCGCAGCCTCAGTGAGGAGATGGACAAACAGCATATATTATGATAAATGTTATGAAAAATGTGTGTATGTGTTACTTCACGATCACACAGGAAGATCTCTTAGGAAAGGGTGGGGGCCTAATAGCAAAGCTGTATAAAAGAAAAACCAGACCTGTTTTTTAATCAGGTGAGATGTGGAAGTAATTCAAAGTTTGTTTCAATTGGAGGAAGCAATATATGCAAAAAAAAAGTATAGAGAATGTGGGATTTTCAGGGTTCTGTAGAGTTCATTGTGCTACTGTGAAAATTTCTCTATACAGTGTCTACAGTTTCTACAGCAGAGAAAGACAAGGCTGGAGTTCTTATAATCATCCAGTGGATTCTGATTTTTATCCTGAAAGCTGTGGGGAGCCATTGAAGGACTTTGAACAGAGATGATCATAATCTGATTTTCATATTAAAAGATCACAATAGATAATAGATTTAAATGGGGTATATATGGAGGCAGGGAGAGCCCAACTGAGAGATATTTTTATGTCATTCAGGTGAGAATTTATGAGAGGCTGAATTAAGGCATTGACCAATGGAAGTGAGAAGATGGTGATGATGTTAAGACATAAGGATTTGTAGTTGTAACAACTGGATCTTTCTTTTTTAATGTTGTAATATCAGTGCTTAGCACTGTGTTTGATACATAGTAGACATTAATAAATATTGAATGAATTAACTTGTGTTCTACTCAGAAAGGTGGAAGGAGGAGGAGGAGGTTTATAGTCTGGGTTTATGATCTATTGATTTAATAGACGGTGCTGTTATCAAATTGAGAGAGATGATCAGCCAGGAAGAGGAATGAAGAGTTGGTTCAGTTTTGTATTTAAGTTTCAAGGTGTTTTTGAGACATTTGAGCAGAGGTATATGAGTCTAGAGCTTCTTCAGAAGGGTTGGCATAGAAAGTTCGGTTTAAGAGTTATCAGCCTAGGCCTGGCTGGTTTGGCTCAGCAGTTAGAGCATTGGCCTGCGGTCTGGAGAGACCCGGGTTCGGTTCCCGCTAAGGGCACATACTTCGGTTGCAGTTTGTCCCCGGCCCTGGTTGGTCGTGCGGGTGGCAGCCACTCGATGTGTCCCTTTCATATCTCTCTTTCTCTCTCTCTCTCTCTCTCTCTCTCTCTCTCTCTCTCTCTCCTTCCCTCCCTCCCTCCCACTCTATCTGTACAAAAATTGGAAAAATGTCCTTGGGTGAGGATAAAAAAAAAAAAGAGTTATCAGCCTACATGGGCATGGATGGCATTGTCCAGGGAGAGGATAAGTGAAGAGAAAAAGAGTAGTTTGTGACTTAGGGAACACCAGCACATAGAGATTGGTGGGGGTAAAAAGAAGAATGAGGAAGCATATTCCAGGAGTTAGAAGGAAAACCAAGAGAGCAGTGTTCTCTAAGTCAAGGGAGGTGAGTTTTAAGAAGGTCTGGGATGTCTGATGCTGCCATGAGGTCTCAGGAATGAGTGGTCACTAGAATAATTAGTTCTATAACAGCAGGGGTTTTTTCTGTTTTGATCACTGCTATATCTCCAGCACTTAGAACAACCTGGCACATAGTAAGCACTCAATAAATAACTGTTAAATTAATTAATTGAAAAAGGTCCCTTGGATTTAGTCTCAGAACCACATGACCTTTGTTAAGGCATTTTCAAAAGAGTGGTGAAAGGAAGCCAGATTATAGTAGACTGAGGAGTGGATAGGATATCAGGAAGTGGCTACAAAAAGAGAACTTAGAATAGTCATCTCCATGAGCACTTGCATATGCTGGGCGCTGAGCTAAGCACTTTACATGCATTAACTCTTTTAATTTTCCCAACAGCCCAGGTAGGCATTGCCACAGTCCCCATTTTACAGATGAGGAAGCTGTAGCTCAGAGAGGGAAAATTACTTGCCCGGGGTCCCACAGCTAGAACCAAATGTTAAAACCAACACTTCAACCCAGATCTGTCTGACTTTGTCAACACCTAACTGCTCAGGCTACATTTCCTCCCAAGTTTCTTTGCGACTGAAAGGCAAGCGAAAGTGTGACTCTTTGAGGTAACGAACAGTTGAGACTTGCAAATATTTCAATGCTAATGGGAAAGAATCACCAGAAATAAATATTTTGAAGACTTTTGAGGGGAAGGAAATAATTTATACACGAGGAGCGTGAGGAGAGATCTAAAGTACAGGTGAAAGGAAATGCCTTCCACCGAGGTAGGAGGAGGAGAACGTGAAGACCAAGTATGTGTTGCAGATATTTTTGTCAGGGAGGAGAGGGAAAGGTAGGGATGCATGGGAGTTGTCTGCTGAGAGTAAGGGAGGTGGTGATCAAGCTATAGACTTGAAGTAAGTGGTATTGTTAGTGGCAAATGGTACCAGATATTAGACCTTGGTCCTTGAGTTTTGGCTAAGAAAGAATTCAGTGGCAAGACTCAAATACAAACAAAGTTTATTTAAAAAGTCACAGAGGTAGACTCAAATACAAACAAAGTTTATTTAAAAAGTCACAGAGGTAGACGTGAACCATGGAAGAAGTGTGCTCTGTGGGCTCAGAAAACAAGTTACACAGGCAAAAGAGGGGCCCTTGGGCCTTAAGAGAAAGCAAGCAAAGGTACGTGCCTTGAGGGAAGAAAGGGGGAAGAAAGGCATGGGTGAGAGAGAACCAGAACACTGGGGAAAGTAGGGGCTGGGGGAAGGTGGACAGGGTTCTTAATTGGAAGGGTTTTGAAGATGAAGATTTTAGGAGAAGTGTCTAGACTTTGTTCCTAAGATTATTTGATGAGGGCCAGAGCCTCATTGTCCTGACAGCTTAATGCTTAAGGGAGTGGTCATGCAAGGGCTTGTATGGGAGTCCTGCAGGGGCTTTTATGGGAGTTGTATGAGGCTATTCTCTGGCCACCTTGTTCCTCCTTTAAGGGGGTCTAGCAATATGCCAGGGGAGGGTCTGAACCACATGACCAGTGATATGTAATGTCAGGAGGGTTTAAACAGTATTACCAGAGATATACTAGGAGAAGAAAGGTCACCCTGAGGACAAGGTCCCACCCTACAGTTGTCCATGCTGGGCTTTCTGCCCTGATGACCTTCTGTACCTGACCTGTCCTACTCTACTCATGCCTGTCTAACTTCCTACTGCATTGGTATAAGTTTGAAATAGCTTTTGCAGAGAATAGAAAAAATAGCAATGGCAGAGACAGAAGATTTTCAGGGCAGCATCATGAGCCCAGCCAAGATGAGAGACCATGATTTTATCAGTAGCCTGGTCCCACTGATACATGATTTTTAGGGTTGAGAGTTTTACCCACCGAATGCAACAGAAGATAAGAGACAGCTTATTGAGATTACTGGCTAGAATGTGAGGTGATGGCCCTCCACATCTAGGGCAGGAGGGAAGGAAGCAAAGGTGGGAGAGGATTCACAACAGAGAGAAGATGGAAAGTTCCTGTTGCTGGCATCTGGAGATAGTTCACCACTGGGACTTTGGGGATAAAAGGATCTCTGAGTTCCACATCCAGTTGACCTGTCTGTGATGAGTAAAGCAAAATTATGTTTAAAAACGGGACACAAGGGTAGAAAACTAACAGTGGTTATCTTGTCAGAGAGGGAGACAAAGGAGGGGTACCAAAGATAATTTATTTTCTTGTTGTAAACACTCTGTACTGTTTGAATTTTTTCAGCTTTTAAAATTAAAACAAACAAACAAACAAAAACACAAACTTTTCAGTGAACCCTAAAAGAGCAAGTTCACATGAAATCAGGGAGAAGAGGGAGCTGCAGAGCTAGGAGGCAGTGGTCATGGAATGGGGCCCTGGAGGACATGACCTGGTCCCACCCTGATATTGTGCCCATTAGAGAAAACGGGAACCTGAGACTCAATCAGCTTGGCACCAGCAGAACCAGAACCAACCTTTCCTGATTTCCCAGCTCCATGCTCTGTTTTCCAGACTACTTCCTGAGCACTTGAGGTTTCAGAATTTCCTGCTGTTCCCCCCTGGGCTTATTGCCATTGTGCCCACAGATTGCTGGCTAATGGGCTGTTTACTGTCCTATGCCTCCCACACCTCGGTGCTTCTTTGCAAAGCCTCTGTGTGTGTGTGTGTGTGTGTGTGTGTGTGTGTGTGTGTGTGTGTGTGTGAGTGCGCGCGCGCAAACACACACAGGTGGCTGGCCTGTTCCCTGAGGATTTTCTGCTCTCTTCAGAGTAGCAAGTTGGAGGTGGAAAACCACAATAATACACTATTTACATCCTTTTAAGTGACCAGGGTCCCTCCTGTTTTGCCAGCTCTCACATTGCCACCTCCTCCAGATTTTCCCCTTCAGCTTAAGCAGCAGCCCAAACCCACATAAGTCACTGAGTGCACTTAGGGCAGGGGTTCTTTACCATGAGACTGGTGGCAGGGGTGGAGGGATGAGCCCTTAATTTAGAGGCATTGTTCTAAGGGGAAAATTCTTTCATTTTCATTAGATCGTCAAAGGATTCTGTGATCCTCCCCCTAAAAGACTATAGATTTAGAGAGTAAGTGCAAGTGTTTTAGAAAAATAAGATATAACATCATAAAAATTAGTTGTTTTCTTGTCTTCCAAGTAATAATTCAGGTAAATCTGGTGTATGTGCAGCCTCTCTTGTCACTGGGACAGTGACCACGGGCAGTTGAATATGGATTAGTTGTGATTTCTCCTCAGTTTGGTAGACTGAGGTCCAGAGAATTAATACCAAAGCTCAGGACTATTGCCCTCTTTTGGATGACTGCCTGGATAGGTACGCAGGTGAGCTCTCCACACAGTGATATTGAGGCTTTGTGGTATGTGACAGAGTGGGGACAAGGAGGTACGGGATGAAGGCATAGTTTAAGGAGGGATATTCTTTTATAGTTTCTTCACCCCCAGCTCTCAGTTAAGTCTCCCTTTGAGAGGTCCCTGCCCTGAAAGCCTGATTGTCCTGTGTTCATGGGGATGAGTTTTTAGGGTTTAGAATGGAGTTAGGAGTTGGCCTGGCCCAGAGTAGCCTCAAATTCCCTTTACCTTGCAGGGTTTATATAGGTTTTAGAGTGAGGATACAGGGTATTCACTGGGGGGTGGGGAATCTGTTTGTTCAGGATGATTGGAAAGGGCCCCATATTGTTCCTCTTGGCAGATCTGAGAGCTGAGATGTAGCTAGGTGGTCATGCTCAGGATGGGTAAGCAGGCTTTCTTGAGATGGTTTAAGGTTCTTAGGTTCCTTCTGCCTAGAGATGGATAACATTTGGGATTCCAGTTTGGTTCTGAATTCTCTCTTCCTGCCTTCTGCCAGGCCATTCTTTCCCTGACTTTGTAGTCCCATAGGAAGTCATGGATGTTGAGGTGCCTGTGGGAACGCATGCGGTTCCAGAGAGAATAGAGAGAGGGAGAGTTCACTGAGGCGCAGGCTTGGGACATATAATCACAACCACCCCAGAGGTCACAGAGAAGAACTGGTAAGAGGGTGGGAAGAGATAACATTGATATTTTGGCTTTTTTTCCCCGCATATACTAAGATCTGTAAAACTATATGAAATGGTATGTTGGCTCAGACTGGGTGGCTTTCCACTGTTGAGAGAATTCTACTTCGGATAGAGAACCTGTTTGAGAAAAGGAGGGAAGGAAGCAGAATGGGCTGATGATCATGTGCCGGACACCATCTGGATCATCTCAGGCCTCCTTTGCATAGGAGATTCTCCCTGTCAGCTTCTTCATCTGGAGCCCTCGAGAGCAGCGCTACTTCGAGTGCCAGTCTGCAATGAGACAGGAAGCATAGATGCCAGGACGTAAACCTGTTCCCTTCATCAACACCATGCTATGAAAAAAATGTTAGACCCAAACAGTGTATTTATTCTGACATAATTGATTTTCATTCTGGCATCATATAAGCCTCCTGTGTGGTGACCAACCAGTAACATGGTTTACAAATCAGCAGCTAACCCACAGGCCACACCTTGAGCAGCAATGCTCTAAGCTGCCTCCAGTTTCAAAGCTGTTGCTGAGGTCTTGGAATTGTGTGCTTGGACTGGACCAAGCCGGAAATATACAGTCCTGGTTACAAAAGGCTGACTCCAGATCATTCCTACATGGTCAGGGTGGGTTATGGAGCAAGAGGGGAGCACAACCAAAATGAAAAAGTTGAACAGATGACTAGTCAGTACATGTGCCAAGGGTGCATGCCCTGTCCTCCCTTCCCTCTTGCCAATAGGCATGTGAGCTGAAGAGCCTAGAGCTAGGGACCCTCCTGTAGGGCTTTGGTTTGCCTGTTGCCTCTGATGGCAGATCAGCCACGTTAAATTTACACTGTCCTTACAGAAAAACAGAAAACACTGGAGAAGCGTTCATTGGTTATCCTTGTGGTCACTCCTGGATGTGACCAGCTTCCTTCTTTGGAGTCACTGGAGAATTGTAAGTACCTCCCTGTTTTTGTTCTAGAAGAGTAAGCACTTGTCTAGAGCTATAGTTCTGGATGGCCTGGCCTAAGTTGCTGATGCTAGGCCTGGAGCCCTCCATGACAGTAGGGACCAAGGGCCACTAAGTGCCAAGGACCATATAAGGTAAGTTTTTCCTATGCCCTCTAACCAGTGTCTGCAGGCTGACTGTGGACTGTTGCACTGACTGAGTCCCACAGGACACCTGCCTTCTGGACTGAGCATAATTCTGTGGCCGTTTTAGGAATGTGTATGTAACTTTGCTGATTTCCTCTAAGAGATTCTACACAAGGGAGAGGAGGAGTTTGGGTCATTTGAACTGAGATGAGGTCAAGTCCTGTGACTGCCTCCTATCTCCCCTGATCTGCAGCATTTGGGTACTTCTCAGCCTCCAAAGTGAAATTCAAGTCTTGGCTTCTTCCTCAGATTCTTGGATGAGGTAGCTGAAGCCTGGGGACAAAGGGACAGGAGGGAGGTTACAAAGGCTTTGGGAACATTGGAACCTGGACTCACCCCTCCAAGCATCACTGTTCCCTTGGCCAGTAGGTGACTTCATACTTACAGCTAAAGGCTGGTTGGAATTCATGTTTCTTGGGGGAGAAACTGACCCACAGATCAGGGGGTGGTTTGCAGAGGACTCTGCTACAGCCTGACCCCCATCACGTGTCACCTCCTAGGGCCTGCAGAGCCCCTTGGTGACCACCATCCCACATTGGCCCAGGCCTGGGTGACCTGCAGTTGTTCTGCTCTGGGGATGTCTGCTCTTTGCAAGGGAAAAAAAAAAAGTGATTTTGCTGTTGTTTTTTAATCCAAGGATTTATACAGAACATGTAGTATGTAATCTAAGAGTAGAAATCCTTAACTACATGGGGTCATTTTTGTCATTTCAGACACCCTGACCATAAACAATGAGCAGTGTTTCCTCCTGTCCGAGACTGTCTGGGGAGCTCTCCGAGGTAACAAGGTGGGGCTGATGCTGGGAGAGAGACTGAGGGACGATATGGACAGTTGGCATTGGCAGGGTGGGAGGACAGGACTGGTGGCCCACATTTTAGGAAGCTTTCTTTGTAGAAAGCAAGTGGAATGTTTCCCCATTCCCCTGAAAGGGGTCTTCTCCTTACACCTTCTGCTAGAAGTCAACTGGCCTTACCTGTGCAGCGGCAGCAGCTGCCGGGCCAGGCGCTCTGGGGAAATGGTGGAGGCTCTGCAGGCTGCTGCCAGTAGGGGGCGGGCAGCCGAGGAGAGGGGCGGCTGCCGCGGACACTGCTGTCTAGCTCTCACTAGAGATACACAGTTGGCCAGGTTTTTCAAAAAGGAAAACTGTATCAAATAGATAAATGTCAAAAAGAAAAAGAGGTCAATAGAAGTAAAATATATAGAATTATATTATTTGGGGAGAAAATTAGGACTTTCCTATCTAACAGGTAATAGGCCTATGCCCTTCCTCTTAGTTTACTGAAAAGGAATTTGGTCCCTAGATACAGACTTAGCCAAATACCTCTATTACTTTTGGTAAAACATCTGCTAGTAAAGGATGAGGGACATTCTCACAGAATTCCAAACATTGGTTTACTTTGTCTGTATTTCTTTGCCCTTCCTCTCCCCTCTCCTGTTTTGGAGAAATAGCATACCAGCTCCCCTTTCTGCCCTCTTGTACCTTTTGTGCAAGTGCTAATGATCAGTTTGGTTGGATGGGGGAAATCTGGGACTCCAGAATGCTGGCATCAGAGTGGAGAAAAGCCCAAACGGTATCCTAGCAGCCTGCCTCAAATTAGGTACTGAGTGACTACAGATTCTTTCATTCTGAACATTTGAGATTCTGGGATTGCTTCATGGGGCTCCTGCTGGGTTTTCAGAAGTGGCACTCCAGCTGCTGGGAACATACAGGGCCCTGGACTCAACATTCCTGCCCTTGGGCCTACTGGAATCTGGGAATCTGTGTCCTGTGGACTGGCTCAGTCCTTCTGGGGTGGCTGCTGCCTACACCTCAGACCCATAGAGCTGGGTGTCTTCTCAAGCTCTGAAGAGGTTCTTTGTCTTTTAGGTCCAGCTCTGGACCTAGGAACCTTGGAAACTCAAGCCTATGTCATTTTTCACAATTCAACTTGGGAGAAGTGAAGGGGCAGCACACTGGGGACCCTTCTTCTCAGCTCCCTTAGCTCCAATGAGTATTGTCCTTAGAGAGCCTTAACAGCCTGCAGGCTAATTGTCTTACTGTTCTTGTGAGTTCACACCTTTGGAAGTATGGGTTAATGTGTTTCTAGAAGAGGCACTGAAACCCCTAACACTGCCTTCCAAAATAAAATAGAGTAAAAAGTTATACCGGCTTCCTAATAGCCCCCTTTTGTAGTGTTGAGAATCATCAAGCCTACATTACACCCACTTTCACTGTGTGCCCAGGTGTCAACTTTTGCCACACTGGACAACTCCCAGATGGATGCCTCTTGTGCCCACCTCCCTGAGTCTTTATTCTGTCTCTCTGCTTCCCTCTAGGGCTGGAGACCTTTAGCCAGCTTGTTTGGAGATCTCCTGAGGGCACAGTGAGTATGGGCCCTCAAAAAAGAGCCCCTTTTAAATCTCAGGTTTGCTCCCAATGTTCAGAGTCCTGGAAATATCTTATTTTTCTTTAAGACAGAGCCCTAGTGGCGTGCAATGGCCTCAGCAGGAGTGTACAAGGAGACATGGGTGGAAACTGGTTTGGTAGATTTGGCCTGTTTGGAATCACTGTAATTTAGTTCTCCTGAATCATTATTTAGTAATGACTTTGAGACCACACTGCTTTGAAGAAAACAACATACTACTGGTCAGTGAAAATGCAGACCTATGGGGCTGAGTGGTGTGTGGGGGAGCTGTATTTGGCTAGCCTGGGACAGTTGCTCTCTGGACAGGTTCCTACTCACGGTCATTGGGGTAGAGGTGTGGGACATTTGGGAAGACACTTACCCTGCAGAACAATCACGGAGTGGCTTTTCAGGGATCTCAAGAGACTTTTCTTCATCCCCCATCCCCACCTTCCTCATGGTGAGTTCCCAGTGAATCCTGACATGTTCAATGTTTGGTCCACACAGTTCTTTATCAACAAGACGGAGATTGAGGACTTTCCTCGCTTCCCTCACCGGGGCTTGTTGTTGGATACATCTCGGCATTACCTCCCGCTGCCTACCATCCTGAACACTCTGGTACCCAGGCCTTAAGGCCTTCTCTGGGGTGATGGGTCAGGGGATAACCCAGGTGCCATATTCCTAAAGAGTTAGGGAGTGTAAGTAACTTTACAAGCTACTGGGGAAAATGTAAAGGATGATCTGCTCTAAAACTAAAAAAAAAAAAAAATGACAAGAGTAATTTTAATTTGCCCCATTGGATACTATGAACCAATGTTGAGCCTGTCTTCAGAGATGCAGAAGGTGGTTTTGGGAACTGGCTTCTTTGAACAGCAGAGCTAACTTTAGTTTAGTTATGACAAGGTCATAGGAAGGAGATGTTCCAAAGCCTTAACTGGGGACGTTCCTAACTATCTTGAGTTTGACGGGCTGTCCTATCTAACGATTGTCTTTTCCTTTGTTCCTCTAGTGGAACCAAAGGAGACATGCATTAGTCTTGGATTCTGAGATTTATGGTTTGGGGGCTACTAAATTCACAAGAGACTTCACAACTTGGATGAATACTAGTCAGGCTACCCAAAACAAATGGCAGGGGGAAATGTTAGTTTTCAGGGTATTTGGGAGCTTTTGGAAGACTCCAGGGGCCCACATGGCTGTAACACTCTTCTATGTGTGGCTGAAACTCATCTCAAAAAGAGGAGGCACTACTTCTGTCAGTCATCTCTGGATGTGCCCTGGGGAAAGAAGAAATATGCTGGGTCTTCCCTCCATGTCAGGCACTCCCTGATGGAAAGGTTTGATAGTCCTGTTAACACTTAACATGATGCCGGGGCTGGCTTGGAAGTCTGCCCAGCTTCCCAAGTTTGAGGCTGAAACTGGAAAATCTGTGATGAGTTCACCATGCATGCTCTGACTTACAGGATGTCATGGCATACAATAAATTCAATGTGTTCCACTGGCATCTGGTCGATGACCCATCCTTCCCATATGAGAGCTCCACTTTTCCAGAGCTCACCAGAAAGGTATGTCTTGATTTCACCTTGACCAAGTTTATGGGATGATGTTTGAGCCTAGCTGTGGCACTGCTAACAAGGACACCAGCTCTCCTCCTAATCAGCCAGTTTTAGGGACACACTGATACAGGAAGGGCACTGGATTTGGAGTCAAGAGACCTGAGTGCAAGTCCAAGCTTTGCCATTAATTTGCTCTGTAACCTTTAGGAGATCTCTCCTGGTCTCATTTTCTTTTCATTTGTTTATTTGTATTCTGTCAAGTGGGCATAATACCTACGTTGTTTGCCTCACTGCCATTGTGACACACAGATAAAACAATAGATGTGATAACTTGTGGGAAATTATGAATAAATTTTGTAAAGATAGTCCTTAATATCAAAGGGCTGTGGGTCAATTATTCTGATATTCAGGGAGTCCTGGAGGCATTTATAGTATCCTCTAACCTGTAAGCCTTCAGGAAATGAGATCTTTCAGGGGGTCTTTTGCCTTTCAGGGTTCCTACAACCCTGCCACCCACATCTACACAGCACAGGATGTGAAAGTGGTGATTGAATATGCACGGCTTCGGGGTATCCGTGTGTTGGCAGAATTTGACACTCCTGGCCACACTCTGTCCTGGGGACGAGGTAAGAATAATGTCAGGAGTTGGAGGAAGTCTAATGATCCTCTTCTCCTTCGGGCTTTACGGCATTAGGCTTGGACATGGCATGCCCTATCCTTGGTCCCTGGAAGAATGTTTACTATCAAGCTCTTCTACCTGAAAAATTAGGTAGACAGAACTTATTTTGGGCAAAGGAGGCCACTTCTTACTATGAAAATATGAGAAAATTCTTCTCAAGTGTGCTTGTCTTAATGATGCCCTTGCAGGTTGTTGTATCCTATAGTGGATGATTTTGCCAATTTGACTGGATTGGCTCTCTGCTTTTCTGCCAAAGACAGTATGAGGGCAGCCTTTGGGAGCAAGGGTGACCCCTACTGGAAGCAGTGTGTCAAGGAAAGGGTGTGACAGTTGCTTGTCCATACCCCCATCTTCTGACCGACTGTGATTGTGGATATATTTGTATTTCTTTGATCACGACTAAATGCTCATGATTACCAGTGTCTTTGAGTCCCTGTTTCTACCTGTGTAAATATAATGTTTATAAATAATGATTGTCTTACTTAGTGTGACTAGGCCTGGGGGGTCTATGTATTTGTGATACTTGTGTGGGGTTCTCTTCTTGCTTAGGTGTCTCTGGATTACTGACTCCTTGCTACTCTGGGTCTCAACCCTCTGGTACCTTTGGACCAGTAAATCCCATTCTCAACAGTACCTATGAGTTCATGAACACATTCTTCTTGGAGGTCAGCTCTGTCTTCCCGGATTTTTATCTTCACCTTGGAGGAGATGAGGTTGATTTTGCCTGCTGGTATGAGCCCTTTGATCTTCCCATCCCAGCCTGATGAATTGCGTGCTCAGAATAGAGGTTAGGACCTAACAGGCCCCAGGTGCTGCTCAGAGTCTAACATCTGAGACAGCATTTTGTCTCAATCTAGATGGCAGGTCTCCAGCTACAGAGAGGCCTGCCTGATTTTGGCAAAGCTATGAACATGAAACTCTCCCTTTCTCTTGTCATATCCTTGAGATATTTATGGGAAAACCAGCTCTAGGCACAGAATTGTCTTTTTAAAATCCAGGATAGGGAAAAATAATTTATAATTTGAAGGCTTAAAATAGTCTGCTTGAAGAGTCATGACACAGGTTAATTTGGGACTAATAGATGACAGTGTTAAATTGTAAGTTCCAAATCCTCAGATCTACTTCACTCAAAAGAGGCTTCTCTGAGAAGTGGGCACTAGAGCTGGATCTTGGGGAAGTAGGTTGGCTTTTTTAAGACATGAAAGAGGGAGAAACATTCCAAGAGAAAATATGAGCAAAATATAGACATTGTGGGGCAAGGGAGTGGCAGCAACACTTGTATCCAACTGGAATAGAGAATAAATATTAAGGGAAAAACAGAATATGCCCAGGGTGGGGTTAGAGAGGGAAGCCAGAATCCAATGTGCCAGAGCCCCAGGCCAAGACCTCAGAGCCACACTTCACAGTCCAGAGAGATCAATATGTGCTCTCTTTGAGAGTTTGAACTTAAAGCTCTTCAGGTCCACACTTAAACTTTCTCAGCCTATGTCAATGGTCCCCTTCATACAGCTTTGTTCGGCCACACCTTCCATGTTTCGGGCCTCTGAGATACTCGGTTGATTGTTACTTCAGGTGAAAAAGGAAGTTATGGGAGGCCAGGTGACTAATCCCCAAAGTTTTAAAAGGCTTTTAGGATATTGAAATAATCCTCATTTTCTCTTGGATTTAGGAAGTCCAACCCAGATATCCAGGACTTTATGAAGAAGAAAGGCTTTGGTAACGACTTCAAACAGCTGGAGTCCTTCTACATCCAGACGTGAGGAAGGAAGGAGGGTGGGCAGGGTCCCTTGGGTCATGTCATGTGGGGGACCATACTAGGGCCAGGCCCTGCTTAATCACTCTCTGAGCCCCTTAAAAGTATCTCTTGTCCTGTGTTTTCAGGTTTGGAGTTGTCAGTTCCAAAGTGGGGAAGACACTGCTTAATCAGGAATGGCCCCTAGCTGGGCTCACCCCTAGAGCACTGGCACCAACAGCCAGAGCCTGCCTGAGCTGAGCAGACACTTTCTTTATTCTCCAGGCTGCTCGACATTATCACTGCCTATGGCAAGGGCTACGTGGTGTGGCAGGAGGTGTTTGATAATAAAGTAAAGGTGAGCCAGGGGCAGAAGGAGTCACCTCACTGCCTCCTTCTGGTCTCCCAGCCCTTCCCTGCCTCTATATCCTGATTTGGATTAGGCTTTAATGTTCAGAGCACTAGGGGCCATCTCTTCTTTCCCTCTAGAAAGGTTGCAGAGGCCTGGATGTGGGTTTTGAAGCCTCTGTCTATCTTCCCTCACTACAGATTGATCAAGAGTTATTTCTACTGCTGGGTTACTTGGGATTCCTGAAACTATCATAATGGGTTGGGTTTTCCTTCCTGAGTCAGACTAGGAATGTACAGGTCTGTGAAAACAGGGTTTCCTTCTCCTTCACTGTCGACCAATATGATCCTAGCCTCCTGCCTTATGCAAGGGTTCTGCAGGAACCTTGTCCTATCCTCAGAAACATCTGGAGAATCTTGCACATGGTAGCTTCCAGAGAGCCTGCTGGGCCGCACTGCTTGCCTCCCTTAGTTCACAGCCAGTATCACTATCTCATTGTGGAGAAAGATGGGGGAACGAAGCAGCAGGGAGCTCTCCTATGGCCTATGGAATCCTTGACCTCTGCACTGGGCTAGTAGCTTAATGGTAAAGAGTCACAGAGAACTACTTTGCTGCTAGAAAGCAGAGGGGGTACATACCCCTTTGGCCTGTGTTGCCTGCATAATAATATGGCCCAGGATTCTCCTCAGCTATGTGCCATTACTGCCATTTGACTTTTGTGACAGGTTCAGCCAGACACAATCATCCAGGTGTGGCGAGAAGAAATACCAGTAAACTATTTGAAGGAACTGGCACTGATCACCGAAGCTGGCTTCCGGGTTCTGCTCTCTGCCCCCTGGTACCTGAACCGCATAAATTATGGCCCTGACTGGGAGAACTTTTACATGGTGGAGCCCCTGTCATTTGAAGGTGAAAGCAGGATGCTGGGGCCCAGGGTGGGAGGCCGAAGGGTCTGGGCTAGATATTTCAGATTAGGGGATGAAACAGCCCATCTGAGGAGAAGGTAGTTGAAGTGGAACCCTAGAGTTGTCTGTTGCTGGTTTTCCCTCAGGTACTCCAGAGCAGAAGGCTCTCGTGATTGGTGGAGAGGCCTGTATGTGGGGAGAGTATGTGGACAGCACAAACCTGGTCCCCAGGCTCTGGTAAGGGTTTTCTGAGGACATGGAGGTTGGATTTGTGGGCATAGGGTCTCCCCCTCAGACCCAATTCCATCTAGCCACCCCCAGACTAGTACCCTCCTTTTAGACCTGAGAGAAAAGGGGCATTGCAGTGATCCTTCTGTTTGTGTATAACATCTGCCTCTTACCTGACTTCCATCTGTGCTTCTCCAACAACCTGTTAGGTATGTAGGATAGAGACAGAGATAATGAGGCCTGGAGAGCACAAATCATTTGCTCAGGATCCAACACGGAAGTCCATGATTCCTATAGTAAGACTTCCCTAGACTGTCTCCTCAGCAGCCTCCCCAAACCTGGGTGGCTATGGAGTTGACATTTTCACAAAACCTGCCGCTGCTGCTGCCGTCAGTGACAGTTCATGATGACTTTAAGACTTACTCTGGTTCCCACGTCTGTGGGAAGGAAGAGTGGGATCACTTTCCACATCTAATGAAGATGGAGCTGAGCCTTGAGGTGCCTGGGAGCCCTTCAGCCAGGTTGTCACTCTGAATAAGGTGTTGGTCACGTCCCTTGGCCCTGAGCTCACACAAGAGGCAGTAGCCTGTGGATATCCCACCCCCTCGCAGGGAATGCAGGAAAATCCTGGTGCATGTCCCCTTTCCTCCAGGCCCAGAGCAGGGGCTGTTGCTGAGAGGCTGTGGAGCAACAAGGTGGTGACTAACTCGGAATTTGCCCTTAAACGTTTGGCGCACTTCCGCTGTGAACTGCTGAGGTAAGCGGCCTGTTGGGCCTTCCCAAAGAGGTGGGCAGGGCAGGGGCTTGGGACCCCTTACTGACAGGAAAAGAACACTTAGTAATAGCTAACACAGAGGCTTACTGCATGATAAGCACTGTGCTTAATCCTTTAAGCAGTGGTTCTCAACCTCCCTAGTGCTGCAACCCTTTAATACAGTTCTTCAAGTTGTGGTGACCCCCAACCATAAAATTATTTTCATTGCTACTTCATAACTGTAATTTTGCTACTGTTATGAATCGCCATCGGAAATATGTGTTTTCCAATGGTCTTAGGCGACCCCTGTGAAAGGGTCGTTCGACTCCAAAGGGGTTGTGACCCACAGGTTGAGAACCACTGCTTTATAGGCTTTATTTCATTTAATCTTCACCACAACCCCATATAGTAGATACAGTTTTATCCTCATCTTAGAGATAGGCAACTGAGGCACAGAGAGGTTAAGTAACATGTCCAAAGTTGCTTAGAATCAGGATTTGAACCAAATTTAGAGTCTACTCAGCCATGTTTTTATGGGCTCTCATGACCCCCTTGCTCCTGTTGGGGATGAGACTATGTAAGACGGTCATTTCCCATATTGATTCATTGACTAGGTCTTAAGGACCTGAGGGAGCAGAGCCCCGGGCTGAGTGCAGAGCAGAGCAGGCTGAGAGCCAAGCATGGTAGGGTCTAAACCTCAACTGTCCGTAACTCACTGGGTGACTGAGCTAGTTCCCTACCATCTCTAAGCACATTGCTTATTTGGATAAAGGAGGCATGCCTAGAGGTGAGGCTGAAAACTAAGGACAAATTTTCATGCCCACATGGAGCTGAGGTACAGAGACAGGCAGGTTGGAAATAGGGAGGTGCTGCCCTGGCCGTTTTAGCTCAGCCGTTAGAGCGTCGGCCTGCAGTCCCGAGAGACCCGGCTTCAGTTCCCCGTAAGGGCACGTCCCTCGGTTGCAGTTTGTCCCCAACCCTGGTTGGGTCATGCGGGTGGCAACCACTCAATGTGTCCCTTTCACGTCGATGTTTCTCTCTCTTCCTCTCTCTCCCTCCCACTCTACCTGAACAAAAAATGGAAAAATGTCCTCAGGTGAGGATAAAAAACAAAAGGGAAACAGGGAGGTGCTGCCCTGGCCAGGTAGCTCAGTTGGTTGGAGCATCCTCCCGATTTGCCAAGGTTGTGGGTTCGATCCCCAGTCAGAGCACATACAAGAATCAACCAATGCCCCTGGCCAGTGTGACTCAGTGATTAGATTCCTGGTCAAGGGCCTGTACCTGGGTTGCAAGGTTGATCCCCAGCCCCAGATGGAGCACAAGCAGGAGGCGACAGATCAATGTGTCTCTCTCACATCAATGTCTCTCTCTCTCTCTCTCTCTCTCTCTCTCTCTCTCAAATCAATAAATAAAAATTTTAAATAATAAAATACATTTTAAAAGAAATAGGGAGGTGCTTCCCAAAAGCCAAGGGAGGGGGAGGCAGGAGTGGGTGGAGGTGGGCAATGGAAAGGATACGTACAATTATGTCAACATTAAATTTTTAAATAAAAAAATAAGCTCAGTACCTATCAAAACATTGCTATTAAATTAACATTAATTCACATCCCTTTGAAAATCAATAGCATCTTCTAGACCATGGCAGAGTGTGCATTAGTTCACATCATTATTTTAGCAAAAGCATGTATACATTTTAGATTCTAGCGATAGAACGAATTATGGTTGAAAAATGAAATGTTTGACTAAGACTATTAATCCTCACAGAGTAATAGAATAGTCTTTAATTATTTGGAAAAAATTAAGTAAATTTTTTAAGTAATAGGGAGGTGCTCCCCAAAGTTCCTGGGTGTCCCTGTATCAGAATCACCTAGGGAACCTGTTCAGAATGCAGATTCTTGTCAACACTTGGCTCCACCCCAAGTGAGAGTCTCTGGAAGTGAGACCCCAAGTAATACTGGTATACACTGACAGTTTGCAACACCATGAAATGCGGGAAAGGAAGACTTGGTTGTGGTGAATGTGTTGCTGGGGCCTAAGACTGACCCCCTTCTGAGTGTCTCGTTTTGCTCTGTTTCTACGTGTCTTCTTGCAGGCGAGGTGTCCAGGCCCAGCCCCTCAATGTAGGCTACTGTGAACAGGAGTTTGAATAAACCTGAGCAAGCAGCCCCAGGCACCGAGGAGGGGCTGGCGGGACCAGGCTCCTACTGCATCCTGGCTTGGGGTCGGAGCCTCTTGCTCACGTGCCACTGTGCTGGAAAGAACAGGGCCAGTGCTGGTGTCCAATAAAGAGTGATGTGACATTTTTCTATAATGAACATGGATTACCTGTGTTAAAAATTGTGAGTGGCCCTTGGGGAGGGGCGCTGCCAGGACTGGCATCTGCTCCTGAGCGTGGTGGGGCTCTGCAGGGCCCAGGCTGGTTGGGCTCAATATCTGCCCCTGGAGGGATCTTGTAAGTTGATGATTGAGAATGAAACCTATAGTCTTTGTGCTGTCCTGCCTCTCCCACATAGTCCAGATACATACCCCCATCCTCTAGTTACTTCCCTCCAAGTAGGGAAGTTACTTAGACCTCCAAGGCTTCTATATACAGAAGAAGACATTATAGGGGTTCAAGGAAATGCTGAGCAGTGACTGCAGACCCAGCCTGGTCACAGAATAGCCCATGCCCCGTGCATACTCACACACTACCCTCCCCTAGAACTTCTGCTGTGGGTCTTGTTACTTCACTTTTATGCAACTGTTACTTAAATGTTATAAAATACATATTATGGTATTGGCACTGTATAGTAGGTGTTGAATATGAAGGACTTGGTCCCAAGAGGCCCCCCAAAACCAGCAACTTCCATTCTCCCACCCATTTTCAGCCCAATTACATCATTTCACAGAATTGGTGGCACAGCTGAGACCATAAGAAGAAAGGCCCTGGGGGTCCAGGAGGTGGGCGCAGGGCTCTTGAAGAGGGTCTTGCACAAGTGACCAGTGTTCCCTGGGAAAAAGTGACTCGTTGTGGACTCAGGCTGCCCTGGGGGGATGGGGGGATTCACGGTCAGAGATGACAGTGCAGCCCAGAGGCTGGGGCAAGAGTGGACAGCAGCTGTTTTAGATAAGGATTTCTTTGACTTTCTTTTACCTGGTTCTTGGATAAAAGGACAATGGAGAGGTTCCCAGGCATTTCTTTCGGAAAGTTTCCAGTCTGGTGGACTCAAGCTTGGAGAAGACAGGACTGAGAAGGGATCTGAGTAAGATTTAGTCCTTAAATAGCATCCTTCAATCCCTCAATCGTTCTACTTTGGGGACCTGATTGGAGGTACACCAACCCTGCCTCCTTGTACTGTTTCAGTAGGGACAGTGGGCACCTTATACCTGCAGAACTCTCTTGAGGATGGGATTTTCACACAGCCTGGAGTAGCCATGCCCAGGGCTCTGGCCTAGAGAAACATCACATGCACCCGCCAGAGGAGCTCACTTAACTCCATTACCCAGAGAATCCTGTCGGGTGGCCTCAGGCAAGGACCCTGCAGGAGTGCTGCTATACTTCAGTTGCCTCTGCTTCCTTGATCATAACTAACATTGCAGTTGTTTGGAAGAATGGTAAATAAAAAGATCAGCCATTAAGTCATCTCAAGTCAATGAAGGAACAGACCATGAAAACATTTGTTAAAGCAGTAAGGGTTTATGATTTCTTATTCTTGTAAGCATTTTCTTTAATGTTATTCTTTTTATAATTTAAAAAAAGTCAGTGTGGCCTGATCAAGACCTTCAATGGTGGGATGTGATGTTTCCAGCCTTCACCTCTGCTCCTATGGGCCCAGTGATCATGAGGGCATTTACCCAAAGATCGTCAGACCTCGAACTGCTGACCACAGCAACTGCCCATTCTGTCCCAATGCTTCCCCACCTCAGCTCCCTTCACCAGGGCTGTGGGCTTAGTGTCCCACCCTGCCTGTGTTCACTGGGCACCACCAGGGACGGAGAAGTGCCCAGACTTATTTCCTGGTTCCAGTCATCTTAGAGCACAAAGAGTCTGCCCCTCCTGTGAATCTCCTAAGGATGCAAGGCAGGCCTAGAGGGAATACAAGTAAAGGGAAGACATCCAGCCCCCCTCTCCCTGGTAGGAGTTGAGGCCACATGCCAGGTACCCATTCCTTCTTGGAAGCTGGTGTTTTCAGGTGCATCTCAGTGGACTAGCACACACATGAATGGCACAGGACTTGGGCACGGGTGCTCCACAGCACTAGAGATGGGTCAGCAAGGGAGTGATGAAAGTCGAATGATACTGGGAAAGGGTTAAAAAAGGATTATATGGGTATAGACTGAATTTAAGTGTCATGCCTGTTGGCAACATTAGCACTCTAAAGTTTAGATTTTTATGGTTTTTTCAATTTCATTTGTAAGATTGATTAATACAGGCCATGACAATTGTGTATCATATACCTTTTTCCCACTACAAAAGAAAAGTAGGCATTGGGTGCTTTGTTAAAATCATTCTGTATATTTTTCTTTGTAAATAAATATTGAAAGTTTGAAAATTAGTGATTTTTTATACCATTAATATATGTACAATATAAATTTATATTAACTAATTTCAGTGAAATGTTGACTTGTTGAAAATATATATATCTTCAGTCCTGACAATTGTTTTTAAAAATCCTTTTTTAAGCAGTTCTTGTGTATTGTGTGTGTATGTCCCTGCATTTTTCAATGAGATTTTTCAAATGAGAATGTCTCCCTGGCTCGGTTGGTTGTCATCCCATGCACCGAAAGGGTACTTGGCTCCGGTCCCGTCAGGATTCACACCCAGGTTTTGGGCTTAATCCCCAGCAGAGGGCATGCAGGAGGCAGCCAATCAATGTTTCTCTCCCTCTCCATTCCTCTCTCTCTAAAAATCAATTTTAAAATCTTTTAAAAAATAAAAATAAGTAAAATGAAAATGTTCATGAAACTTGCTTATTTTCACAGTAATTATTATACTCCAATCACATTCATGTTATGTCTTCCCTACCACAGTACTTTTATTTTTAATGATTTCAAATATTTCAAACATAAAAATATAGAAAATAAAAGAATAAACACAGTATAACCAGTTTTATCACATCTTAACAGTAATGTTTGCTTCAGATTTTTTTTTTTTAATGAAACATTATTTATGTTTCTAGTCCCTTCCCAAAATAACCACTTTTAGGAATTTATTTTAAATCTTATTTCCTCCAGCTATCAGAGAGTTAGCTGTGATTTTTCTTCATTGTTAATACATTTTTTATGGGTTACTTTGTAGCAAATTACAAAGGAATGTTTGGAAGCCACTCAAAAATTGTGTATGTTGGAGGAGACTGGCCTGCTAGCAGACAGATGTGGGCTGGGAAATGGGATGTGTCTGTGCTGTGTTGGTGTGCTGAACATGAAAAGGGAGCATACTGGGGGTGTCTGTAATCTATTACGAAAAGGAAGATACTCAAACATGGAATTCAGAGAAAACATGTAAGTCAGAAATTCGAATGAATGTATTTGTGGAGATAATATCCAAGGGGACAAAAGCACTTCGACATTTGTATGTGCTCGCTGTTTCAGGCACTGTTATAAACACTTTATTGGATGTTAACTTCTTTAATCCTCATTCCTAACCAGGGAGATGGTACTAGTATTTTCCTTATTTGACACAAGTAAATATACATAGAAAGGTTAAATGACTTGTTCACAGTTACACAGCTAGGTTGAGTCAGGATTTGTACTCAGGGAATATGGATCCAGGCTCTCCTAGTTAATTCTGCCCTATACTGCTCTGGGCCATCGGCCACTCAAGCTTGGAGAAGACAGGACTGAGAAGGGATCTGAGTAAGATTTAGTCCTTAAATAGCATCCTTCAATCCCTCAATCATTCTACTTTGGGGACCTGATTGGAGGTACACCAACCCTGCCTCCTTGTACTGTTTCAGTAGGGACAGTGGGCACCTTATACCTGCAGAACCCTCTTGGGGGTGGGATTTTGCTCTTAGACACCACACTCAGACCGTAGTGAAGCTGGGTTCTCAGCTACATCTGAGCTAGAGTCCGTTTCCTTCCAAACCACTTCCTCGTGGGTGGCTTATTTTTCTCAGCACACAAATAGGCACAATCTCCCCTATCTTTAAATAAATTTAAAACAGTCCTGCTTTTTCTCAGTCAAGTTGCCTGTACAACTGTGAGTTTGTCTCCACCTCTCGTCTAGTCCTCATGAAGGCTCTCACCAAGGCCAACAATAACTGACATGTTGCCAAGTCAAGGGACATTTCTCAATAAGAGTGTAAAACATTACTTGGCCTTTCCTTGTATTTTGAGATTTTGATCACTCCTCCTTTGAAATTCTTTCTTACCAGACTTCTGTGATATCATTCTTCCCTGAATTTTCTCCTACATCTCAGGATTCTCAACCCAAATCACTGACTCCTCCAAGCAAACTCCCATTCCACAACCAATCATTCTTTTTTCTCATGTCTAATTTTTATTATGGAATGTAAAGCTCTATTTATTTTTAAAGTATAGTTGACATATAATGTTGTTAGTTTCAGGTGTATAACATAGTGAGATTTCACATTTATACACCTTACAAAGTGATCACCACAAAAAGTCCACTATCCCACCCCCTCACCTAGGCATTCACCGCACTATTGTCTGTGTCCATGGGTTATGCATATATGCATGTAATAAGTTATTTGGTTAATCTCTTCCCACACCATGGGGTGAAGGGGGTCAATGGGAGAAAATGGGGGGCATTTGTAGTATTTCCAACAATACAAATACATTTTTAAGTCCACTATCCATCTGTCAACATACAAAGTTATTGTGGTGTAATTGACTGTATTCCCTATATTGTACTTCACATCCCCATGATATTTGTAGGTTTGAATTTTTAATCCCCTTCACCTTTTCTCCCATACCCCCACTGCCCAACCCTCTGGCAACTCAGTTTTTCTGTGTCTATGACTTGGTTTGTTTTGTTTGTTCATTTGTTTATTTTTTTTAGGATTTCACACATAAGTGAAATGATAAAGTATTTGTCTTTCTATGACTTATTTCATGTAGCATAATATCCTCTAAGTCTATCCATGTTGTCACAAAGGGCAAGTTTATTCTTTTTCATGGCTGAGTATATTCGTGTGTGTGTGTGTGTGTGTGTGTGTGTTCCTTCCTTTATTCAATCATCTATTGATGAACACCTAGGTTGCTTCTACATCTTGTGTATTGTAAATAATGCTGCAGTGAACATAGGGGTGCATATATCTTTTTGAATTAGTGTTTCATTTTCTTCAGACAAGCACCCAGAAGTGAAATTGTTGGTTCCTTCTGTGTCCCTTGTTATAGCCTTTGTTTTAAAATCTATTTTGTCTGATATAAATATTGCCATCCTAGCTTTTTTTTTTTTTTTTTCTTCCATTTTCATGATATATATTTCCATCCCTTTACTTTCAGTCTGTGTGCATCTTTCAATCTGGAGTCTCATTTAGGCAGCATATGGAAGGGTCTTTTTTTTTTTTTGATCCATTCAGTCTCCCTTTGATTTTTCAATGGAACACTTAGTCAATTTAGATTTAAAGTAATTATTGATAGGTATGTACTTATTGCCATTTTAATTGTTTTCATACTAGATTTATAAGTGGTTGAACTATCTTTACTATACTGGTGAGATGTTTTTCTTTCATATATTATTTCTATTTATTTTTAACTTATTATTGTTGACTGTATTACAGATGCCCCCCCCTTTTCCTCATATACCCCCTCCTCCCCAAACCTACCCTGCTCCTGCCTTCCCCACACTAACGTCTGTGTCCATTGGTTATGCATATATGCATAGAAGTTTGTTGGTTTATCTCATCCCACCCTCCCTCCCCCCTCCCCTTTGAGGTTCATCAGTCTAATGACAAATTTGTACTTCTCAATTCCTTCATCTTTTTCTCCCATCCCCCCCAGCCCCTGCCCATCTGGCAAGCGACAAAAAGACCTCTGTATCTATGAGTCTGTTTCTGTTTTGCTTGCTCATTTTGTTTGTAGATTCAATTGTTGATACATATGTATTAATTGGCATTTTATTGTTTATATTTTTGTTCTTCTCCTTCAAGAAGACCCTTCAACATTTCATATAATACTGGTTTGGTGGTGATGAACTCCTTTAGCTTTTTCTTATCTGGGACACTCTTGATATGTCTGTCAATTCTAAATGATAACTTTGCAGGATAGAGTAGTCTTGGTTGTAGGTCATTACTTTTTATCACCTTGAATATCTCTTGCCACACCTTTCTGGCCTGCAAAATTTCTTTTGAGAAATCAGCTGACAGTCTTATGGAAGCTCCTTTGTAGGAAACAATCTGCTTTTCTTTTGCTGCTTTTAAGATTCTCTCTTTGTGTTTAACCTTCTGCATTTTGATGATGATGTGTCTTGGTGTGGGCCTCTTCAGGTTCATCTTGTTTGGAACTCTCTATAATTCCTGGACTTGTAATTCTGTTTCCTTCACCAAGCTACGGAAGTTTTCTGTCATTATTTTCTCAAATAGGTTTTCAATTTCTTGCAGGCTTTCTTCTTCTGGCACCCCCATGATGCCAGTGTTGGTACACTTGAAGTTGTCCCAGAGGCTCCTTACACTATCCTCCTTTTTTTGGATTTTTTTTTTTTCCTGTTCTGATTGGGTGTTTTTTGCTTCCTTATATTCCAAATCGATGGTTAACTGCTTGGCTTTACCTACTCTACTATTGATTCCCTGTACATTATTCTTTATTTCAGTTAGTGCATCCTTCATTTCTGACTGGTCCTTTTTTATGTTGTTGATGTTCTCACTAAGTTTCTTGGCACTCGCCTTAAGTTCCTTGAAGGTCTCACTAAGTTTCTTGAATGTCTCAGTAAGTTCTTTGAGCATTCTTATAACCAGTGTTTTGAACTCTGCATCTGACTACTTGCTTATCTCCATTTTGTTTAGTTCTTTTCCTGAAATTTTGTTCTGTTCTTTAATCTGGAACATGTTCCTTTGTCTCCTCATTTTGGTTGCTTCCCCGTGTTTGTTTCTTTGTATCAGGTAGAGTTGCCATGTCTCCTAGGTTTCATAGGGTGGCCTATTGTTGTAGGTGTCCTGTTGGGTCCAGTGGCACAGCCTCCCTGATCACCCCAGTTGGGCCCTTGAGGTGCACCTCTAGTGTGGACCACCCTTCTGTTGTAATTGAGTCTTGATTGCTACTGGCACATCAATGGGAGAGATTTACTCAGACTGATCAGCTGCAAGGATTGGATGTGCCCACTGACCACTGCCCTCTGACAACCTTGAAGGATTAGCTGTGCAAGGACCCACCACACAGAGGAAGACTTACTTCAGCAGGGCTTTTGTACCCACTGAGTTCACTCCTTGAGTGTGTCACTTGTGGAGGTGGTTCTTCGATGTGATCTGTCCACTGGGTGTGCTGGTTCTGGAGCAAGGTCAGCCACTGCCTGTGTTCTACCAGGCTCCACCTGGCATAAGCTACAAAGTGATCTGCTGATGGCTGCTTCTTGTGCTGAACTTGGAGTTGCCGAGGCAAAGCCAAATTGTGAACCAAGGCTGGCTGCTTCTAGTGCCAGGCCTTGGGCCACTTAACAAGAGGTATGGGACTTGCTGAGACCAGATGCTGCTTG